GTTGAAGTCCACACATCTTAAAGTTGCTGAGGCTGAGAAACAGTGTATTAGATCATCATGGCTTCAAAAATAGGAACTTCTTCAACAAAAGGAATAAGTTCCTATTTTGAAACCATGGTGATCCCTCTCACTAGAATAATGGTGGCAATTATCCATAACAAGCTAAGGGGACTATTGTTTTATGATCTGAAATGTATGTGTGTACATCCATCCAACCCAAAGTGAAAACAAAGTAGGTATGAAGGTCCTGTCAAACTCACATTGTCTTACAGGCAGGAATTAAACCCACCACCAGAAGTTCTTCTCTTGCATAAATTGTTGTCCAGTTATTTAGGGTAAAGACTGAGGTAAAGGAAGAAGTTGCACCCTGTTGTGGAGTCTAATGCAGTCTTCCATTCCAAGCTCAGATTATACTGTCCTTATCATGATCTGACGGTTTAAATAGTTGCAAAATTGGGCAAAGAATGAAACATGATTCCTTGCTTTAAGGACTTTAACAGCAATTGCCTCCTTGATATTTATGGTGGAATTACACATTAACCACTTGTTTAGCTGCCCAATTTGAGCAATTGAAATGTTGCATTAGCAGTGACTACTGCCACCCTACCTACCTATCTTTCCTTGATAAGTGGTTGCTTTGGGTTTCTGGCAAACAACGTCCAATGAACTGCATCTTTGGCTGTACCAGACAGATATCTAGTTCAACATTGATTATCTTCTCTCCCTCAAGCCCCCAGCCAATACTTACTTGTAAGCAAGGACCCTGTGTACTAAACATCTACAGGCAGACAGGTTGTACCTTGCCACTGGAGCAGAGATCAGTGGAAATTCCAGACCAAACCAGAAGAGAGGGCATGTCCTGTGAGTTTTTCTGTCTCTATAGGCAGCTGGGACCAAATTCTACCACTCTTTTGGCAGAGACAATAGAATAATAATTCCAGCTGTGGAGGGCCAGGCTTGAAAACCTGGGGTCCAGAGGCCATTTGTGGACCCTTATAATTTTGCCCATTGTCTCCATAGCCCTTCCAGGAATTGGTATCAAACTTTAACGTGATCAAAGGGGTATATTATTCAAGACATGGGAATTCTTTAAATTAACCAAATATAAATTTAATTAACAATGAAATGAAATGAAATAAAAACAACTGCCTGGCCCCAGCCATTTTTATCCAGGATAACAATATTTGGAACCTGTTCTGCCCACCCCCCTCAAACCTCTGGGCACCCTGCCCTAGAAGGAACCAGTGTATTGCCACACATGTAGAAGCTCTCCCCTACAGTTAGATAAGCTGGATTATGGCTGGATGTGGTGGGAATTATCGTTACTGTGATAACAAGAAGCAATAACCATTAGAGATGGGCTTTTAAAAGTGTATAAGAACATTCATACAGATGTATTAGGCCTTCTGCTCCCGCTGTCAATACATCTTGATAGCCGCAAACAAAAAAACAAGGTCAGTGTCCCTTTAGTGACTGCCTAGCAAGCTTCCCTGGTAAGCCATCTGACTAGTCACTGGAAAGCAGAACCTTGGATTTAGTTAGGACTTGGTTTAATCCAGCAAGAGTGGTTCTTACCTTTTAATTGTATGCTGGGCAGTACTTGGATTTCCAGAATTACGTGCTACGTGGATCTGTTCATGGTATCTCAGCCCTGGAACGTGCGATCACACTGTTTAACAGTATCTCCCAGTGGGTGCAAGTGATGATCCTCAAGCGTCCCACACCCCAGCAGCGAGCAGAAGTCTTCACCAAGTTCATTCATGTTACACAGGTAAGGTCCCACTAGAAAGAAACAGTGGTGGGAGTGTGGACAATGCAGAGGGGGAAGAGATCTGAAACATGGCGTTCCACTGATGCTGGTCCCAAGACTCAATTGTTAAATAAGGCCCAGAAGGAAAGTTGTCAATTTTGGAAGCGTCCAATGGCATGGAGGCTGCTGGGATAGGATGGCATGGCTTTTCTGGTGGCTGGCTCCAAAATGACTTCCTCTACCCACCTAAGTCTTGTTTTATTTTGTACTCGGTTAGAAAATATCAATAGAAGCAACTCCCATCCCAATAAAATACATCAGTAGGAATCATCTATTCACATTCTTGCTGGCTAGAGAGGGCAAGTCTTCTGCATGGAGAAAATACATTTCTTCCAAGCCTATCAAACCCAGGTTCTCTCTCCCTCATTTCTAAAGGATGGCATGTGTGTGTGTCTAAGTCTGAAAATTGGCTCCTGTCAAATGTGAGGAGCCTTTGAACAAAGCTAACTCTTTCTTCTCGCTGTCCACTTAAAGGTCCTGTCTTAGATCATCCCTTTATTCTTCCTCCTGTTGCAGAAGTTAAGACAGTTGCAGAATTTCAACACACTCATGGCAATCGTGGGAGGGCTTTGTCACAGCGCCATCGCTCGTCTCAAGGAGACCCATGCATTGCTACCTTCCGAGGTCGCTAAGGTAAAGAAAAAGTCCTCCTGGGGAAAAAAAGAGGAATTTTAGCCTTGGTGAGGTATCCCAAAGGTAGCCATGTCCAAAGTAGTATCCTGGCTCTTGACCTTCTACTAGATGCCATATCTTACGCCAAGTCCTTGAAGACCCGGATGTTCTTTCAGGCATGGGGTTTGGAGGTTGGGTGAGCCCATTAATGTGATTTTTCTTAATATGACTGTGGTTGTATGGATTGGGTTAGATTGTCCTCAGGCACCATGACGTTATGATTTTTTGTTGTTTGTGTTGCTTTTAATCCATCATGAGATGAGTGGCTATATACATCGATATCATAAAGAAATCAGTTAATCAATGAATTCATCTTGAAAGTGACTCTTTAGAAGGGGTGTGATGCTCAGGGGGTAACATGGGATTTACCTCTTCTTTTTTGGTCTCTGCCTCCCCCTTCCTCACGCAGCTGCTTGCTGAGATGACCGAACTGCTCTCATCGAGTGGAAACTATGGGGCTTATCGTCGGGCCTATGCTGACTGCGAGGGCTTCAAGATCCCCATCGTGGGCGTCCACCTCAAGGACCTGGTGACGTTGCACGAGGCCCTCCCGGACCGCGTAGAGGGTGGGCGCCTCAACCTGAGCAAGCTGCAGAGCCTCTACGAGCCGGTGTGGGAGTTCCGGTTGCGGCAGCGGGCTCAGCCCCCCTTCAAAGCCAACAAGGACCTAGTGCATCTGCTAACCGTAAGAGAGATTCTTGGAGGACCTGTGGAGACCACGGGAGGGTTGATGGTCAGGCTTGTGTGCATGCTCCGGAGGTCCAAGGAGGCTCTCTCAGCTGCACTGAAAGGAAATAAACTGGATTCAAACTGAACCGCCATTAATTCGGCCCCCCGTTTGGAGAATACGGCCTCTTTCCATCCAGCATCCAGTGCAGCCCTTCACCTTCAACAGGAACAGAAGTTCCCCACCAGGACAGCGTGGCCCATCATATTAGTAGTAGTAGTAGTAGTAGTATTAGTAGTAGTGTTATTTATTCAATTTATATGCTGCCTGTCTCCCAGTGACTCTGGGTGGTCATAGCCTGAGAGGGGGAGGCGCAGGGGGCAGCAAGCCCTCAAACACTGCTTTTTGCTGGACACTGGGCCCAACGACAGGCAAAAAACTCCTCTCCTGCAGGCCTCCATCCTGTGGTGTTGCTTAGCAACATCTCCTAGAGGAGGAAAGAGTCCACAAGAGCTGCAGGGTTGCCTAGCAACCACCACCCCCACAGGCAAAGAGGGCCGGCGTGCTCTGCCCGGCCTAGTGGGTTGACTCAGTCACCCAAACGTCTGGGTTATCTATCGACCCTTTTGCTACAGAAATATGGAACCACAATGGGTGGGGAGCCGAAAAGATGGTCGTGCCCTGTGTGTCCTAACCCAGACGCCTGGTTGCCTAGCAGCAGCCGGTGTGGGCAGGGCCATGGAGCATGGTGACGCAGGTGTTGCTTAGCAACCAAAGCATGACTACAGGTCCAAGCCTTGCCACACAAGGAATCTCTGCAGCCCCCAATTTGGAGCCTGGTGCCCTCCAGGCCCATTGGCCTACAACTCCCATCCTTCCCAGTCAACTCTTCGCCAGGTGGACTAGGAAGGATGGGAGTTTTAAACCCACAGGTCAAGATGGCACAGGCTGCAGTATCACAGGGTGGGAGAATGGGCTGTGGTGCTGTAATGGGGACAGGCATGCAGGAGGCTGGAGGAGGAAGTTGCCCCAAGCAACCTGTCCAGGTGACAAGACATAGGAGAAAGATTAGAGTGGATTAGAGCCACCCCGTGGCAAAGTTGGCATTGGGGCCCTGATCCCATCAGGGGGGCTGCCTCATTCTCTCCTGAGGTTCAGTGGCAGTTTGCTTAGGTAAGGATGGGGCAAAAGGAGAGAAGCTATTTGGCCTTTGCTTCGGCCATCAAAACACTTTGGAATAGCCAGATGTGCACCAGCTGCCCATCGTGAAGTCATCAGGGTAACAGTGGTTCTTGGCCAATGCTCATGGGATTTTGGGTGTCTAGGGTGTGTTTCCTTTGCCCTAAAACGCCTTCTTGCCTTCCAGCTCTCCCTAGATCTCTACTATTCAGAGGAGGAGATCTATGCCCTCTCATATGCTCGTGAACCTCGCTGCCCCAAGTTGCTGGTAAGAGGAGGACGAAGGCATGAGGAAGGAGCCAGTCTTCCCTGCAGTCCTGTTTCTTAAAGCTCTCTGCTCCCCTTTCCCCTTCGCAGCCGTCTGCCCAGTTCAAGCCTCCGGTGGTCGTGGAGTGGGCGCCCAGAGTAGCCCCCAAGCTGGACCATCTTGCCGTCAAGAGGCACGTCCAGCAGATGGTGGAGGTAGGAGCAGCCAAAGCGATGCCTGTGGGGAGAAGAGGTTGCCACTGTTCCATCTTGTGCCATGTTCTTAAATGCGGGTTTGTTGCTCCAAGGGGTCTCCCTACACACCTTGATGTCTTTGGCCCAGGCTTCCCCACACTTAGTTTCTCTAGTTGGGTTACAGCAGCGTTTCTCAAGCTCGTCAACTTTAAGATGTGTGGACTTCAACTCCCAGAATTCCCCAGTCAGCAACTGTGGTCTCCTCAACCCTAAACCAAAAGTTCTGCTCTACAGTACCATAGTCTTCTTTAAGCAGCAGGGAGCACTTCAGATGCATTGGGACTACAGCTCCAAGACTCCTGAATGGTCATGCTCCTTTTGAAAGGGAATTCTGGGAGCTGGAGCCTCAATGCAGCTGGAAGGCGTCAAGCTGGTTGACAAAACCAGCTCTGGAGCATAGACTGAAATCTTCTGTTACATCACTGCAAGATAACTCTTCTGTTTTAGGACATATATGCCAGCAAATATGATCTTTTATGATCCTACATAATGGGGCAGGGGGGGGCGTGCGTTATTTGTGGCCCATTAATGAGCATGGCAATCAGGTTGTGCTGTACCTCAGTAAGTGCCTCCCCCCAGCCAAGTCCAGTTCCCGCTTTTCTCCTCCCCTTTCCACCTATCACGCCTCCTTTTCTGTAAAGGAAGAGGCTCAGATCCGGCCACTCCAACCACATCCTTTTCTACAAATAAAACACACTGCTGAAAACACAGTTGTGCATGGCTGGTGGAGGGAGTGACAGAAAGAGGGGGGAAACCAGGCCTAGCCAGTTTGCAGGCAGGGGTCCACATAGGAACAGGGCCCCGGCATGATCACTCAAGCCCCCTACTACTACCCATTGTTTCATATGGCTAGAATCCCTAGTCTTTCGGGCATCATGTTGCCTTAAAGGGTCAGTTTAGTAGAGGATGATTTTAGGTGCTCATATTTAAACACAACAGATCTGTACGAATGCAATTATAACTAGCATGGATGTTGGGGGTTACTTGATTAGGGAAGATGGAGAATTCAATTCTTTTTCTCTCTGATACTATAGCGTAGCTGTTATTTGTATTTTAAGAGATACAGCTCTTTTTGAAATCACTGCAGGGGAAATAAGGAACTTTCCTTGTAATGCAAATACTGCTTTGCATAGGAGATTTTGGGATGATGGCATAGTGAGTATGCGTAAAACATAGGACCCTAACCTTGGGAGGCAGGGTGGAGGGAACTGATAGTCTTATGTAGGTCTTAGGTCAGGAAAAGAGGATGTGGTCAAAGGAGAACTAGGGCATGTTGAGAGTAAAATACTTATTCCAATCATCTCATAGACTCATGACCACTTTTCACTTTTAATGGGCTAACTGGAGATTGGTGGCAGCTGAAGGGTACACTTTGCTTGCATAGAAAGCATGCAGTTTCTAGGAAGCGGAGCAATCTCCTGTGAGTTAAACCTATCTCTTTTTCCCCAACCTGGCCCTGATGCTTTTGATACTTCTCTGCGATTGCTGCTGACATTACAAAAATGGGTATCCATGCAATTAATTGTGTGTCCTTCTCCTAACCGAACATCTATTCATCATAAAAGCTTCTGCTTTTTGTTTAAAATGACAGATGATAGAACAAGCTTATGAATACAGGTAGTCCTCACTTAACAACCATTTGTTTAGTGACCATGTTAAATTACAGTGGTGCTGAACAAAGGGACTTACAACTGGTTCTCACACTTACAACCGTCACAGCACCCCTGCAGTCACATGATTGTGATCAGGATACTTGGCAACCAGCTTGCGCTTATAACAGTTGCAGCACCCCAGGGTCACATGATCACCATTTGCAACCTTCCCAGCCAGCTTCTGGCAAGCAAAATCAATGGTGAACCGCGTGATTCACTTAATAGCCGCAGTGATTTGTTTAATGACCGCTGTAAGAAAGGTCGTAAAATTGGGTGTGACTCACAACCACCCTACTTAACAACAAATTTTCCAGTCCCTATTCTGGTCATTAAGTGAGGACTACCTGTATTTCAAATGGATGGCATCCAAATCCACAGGGATCTTTTCATTCTTGACTTCCCCTCTGTAACTCTTCCCTTTCTTCTTACATTTTCCAATGTCAGTTAGTGTTTTATTGCTTTTTACTCTTTTTACCATTTTACTGCCTGGATTTATGCACAGATATTTGATTCCTGTATGTTTTTAATTTGTTTTACTTCTTTTGTGTGTGTGTTTTTTAAAAAAGGTCTCAATAGTTCATAAATTCCTCTGTAGACCTTTCCACCTCCATGGCTTTTTTTCTTCCCTTCTCTCTTTTTCCACCAGTCTGTGTTCAAGAATTACGATCCTGAACAACGTGATTACATCTCTCAGGAAGATTTTGAGAACATCTCCATGAGTTTCCCCTTCTCCTTCTATGGATTGGAAAGAGAGCGGTAAGCACAGGGGTTGCCTGGAAAGGAGACACCACTAGGTTGCCATAAAGTGGAAACCGAGGGCATCTCATTAGCTGACAGAAATTCATGGCCCAGCTGGATCTCCTATGAGTTTATTTAAGAAAGGTGGGGGTGCCTGTTGATTTTCAGCCCCCTTCTTCCAGAGCTGCCCAGCAGACTGCAGGAACAAAACATTTTGCATCACTAGGGAAGTCAGAGAGCTCTAGACTCTGCGTGCCAGCCACAGCCTTGGGCATTTCCTGGACATTGAGATGAATCACTAGAGAAGTATATCAGCAGAAAACTGGCTTCTCCCACAGCCAATCTCTTGCCTGCCACTGACTTCTCCTCCTAGCCATGCCAGGCCCCAGACTTCCCTCCTAAGTAACAGATAACCAAGCACAACAGAGTTTACCCACCCTGACAGTATTGGAATAAGGGGATAAGATGACTTTCACACTGGGCTCATTAAGGATGACCTAACCCTGTCTTGCTCAATGGGAAGAGATGAACGCAGTATCACGGGGACATGGGAGAAAACAAGAGGTTGCCAAAGCACATGGTCAGCGTCTGTGTGTGGGACAGCAAATGCATTTTGCAAAATTTTAAAAAAATGTTGCAAGTGGGGAAAGACCTTTTGCAAGAATAGGAGCGCAGGATAAGAATTAGTGGGCGTAGGCCCCAAGCACGTGATGGCAGTGGTTTCTAGCAGCTTATGAATGCTAGGCAGAAAATAGCCCTTGGCCTGAAGCATACAATTCAGGGTGGTAGCAACCTGCTATATCCAAGAGGCCTATATGGTACTCCATTTAAATCAGTGTTTTTCAAACTTGGCAACTTTAAGAGGGGTGGACTTCAACTCCCAGAAT